TCCTGCAGCTCCTTTAATGTTGCTGTAGGCCTCTTGGCAGCCTCCCTGACCAGTTTTGTCCTTGTATTTTCATCAATTTTGGAGGAACGTCCAGCTCTTGGTAATGCCACTGTTGCACCATATTTTTTCCACTTGATGATGACTGACTTCTGTGTTCCATGGTATATCTAATGCCTTGGAAATTCTTTTGTACCCTTCTCCTGACTGATACCTTTTAACAATGAGATCCCTCTGATGCTTGGCTTTTGCTGTAGGATGCGACTAGGAAAATGTCAGGAATAGCCTACTGGAACAGCTGAACTTTATATGGGGTTAATCAGAGGCACTTTAATTGATGGCAGGTGTATTGATTCCTATTTAACATGAGTTTGAATGTGACTGCTTAATTCTGACAACAGTCATAGCCCCACAGTAAGAAGGTGTGCACACTAATGCAACCACATTATTTAAGTTTTTTATTTTTACTTCCCACTGAAAAAAAGATTTCAGTTTGTTTTCAACACATTAAAGGTGGCTAAAGTTCTGGAATTATTTATCTTTGTCTCGTTTTTTGTTTACATCACAGAAACCTGGCATTTTAACAGGGGCGTGTAGACTTTTTATATCCACTGTATGTCTAGAGTGCATTCATTGCTGCTGCCTGAGGTTTCATGAAATGCCAACATTCCTGTGGCAAACTATACCTGAAAGAAAAATCAATCAGCTCACACTTGACCCAGATTTTGGGTCTAGTCTTGTTACCTTTCTGTTTCTCTCCAGATGCTTCCTGACAGCCACAGCCTTCTTGATGAGGTGGTAAAGGTCCTCGGGCAGATCAGGGGCCAAGCCCTTGGACTTGAGGATCCTTAGGATCTTGTTGCCAGTAACGAAACGTACCTGGGCAACACCATGGGAGTCCCTCAGAATAACACCTAAACAAAGTGGCAAGCAGGCTTGAATCTTGGACACTGGCAAAATTCTACACTGTTATTCTGTTTTTTTCAATTAAGATATCCATTGTTTTTCTGTTGCCTAGTGTAAACACACTGCTGACCAGACAGTGCATTATGTTGAAATTGCACAGGTGAGCAGTTATTTAGTTTACACTGTACCAAAGCAAATTCATAAAACTCTCTTTGCAGTGCATGAGAACAGTCCTACAGACAGTACCACAGAAAAGACAAGCATGGCAAGATACCTAAAATCCAGGGTAAAAACATATCTTGTCAACTATCACATTTACAAACAATACCAGACAAAGGTTAGGACACACTTTGCCAAAGACTTGGCTGATATTGTCCACACTATTGTCTACATTTTTGTCAAACCGAACTATCTGATTCTGCTAAATGTAGCCCACTAAAGGGTTAAAAGCTTATGAGTGTCACATAAAAAGCTTTACTTAAAAGTACCCTACAGAGGGATGACAAATCTTTAGAGATAATGAACAAGTGAGAGATACAAGCACATATAACAAAGTTTTTCAAACAAATTTAACAGTAACTGGACTGCAGTTACATAGAAATCATAATTAAGCTGACAAAGACCAAACACAAACCCAACCATAACAGGCAATGCCCCAAAATCCAGACTGTCTTATGTCTCTGGTATATTATATTCTCTTAATTATATTCACTGTAGTCATGAACTGTTTAAGAGTTCTGCACCCTGGAGGTGCTTAGGCACGTGGCTGAAAAATTGGTTCTGTTGTCTTTATGTTGCAATAACATACAAGACAATCAAAAATAACAAAGAAACACGCACCAATCTGAGAGGGGGTCAGACCCTTTTTGGCCAGCTTGAAGATCTGCTCTTTGACATCATCGGATGTGAGTTTCAACCACTACAAAAAAAAAACGTTTATATTACTTCCATGATATCAATACATCAGCTCATTTAAACCGACATTACCATAATGTCAGACTGAACCGTGTGTGTACTCACAGTGGGGACACTGCGCCTGTACGGCAGAGCTGACTGGGACAAGCCCTTTCTGTAAAGGAAAAGACTCCATAAGTTAGTCTAGTTAATCTGGCAGTATGAACGAGAAACGTGGAATTACATGACATTAAAGGCATGTCTAGAAGCAAAGAAATAAAATATTTTGCATCTGCAATTATATTAAGTTATGAGAGCTGATGGATCGGCTAACGCTAGCTTCACACTAGTGCTAAGGATACAAATTTTTAACGTTGTTTGTTACAATGGCTTAGTATTAAAAGTCAAAACTATTGAAAAATGCTTTTAGAGTGTGAATGTGTGTTAGATCACTGTTTAAAGTCAATTAGAAAGATCGCAATGAGCCACCACGGCACTGGCTAATGCTAACTAGCTGGAGATGGATGTCGATGTGAGAGTGCAAGTTTCTAGGTCATTCTATCTCTTCTGTGCAGAATTAAGGACCCTGTTCGGCCCTCAGACATTTACAACAGGCTTATAAGTCAGATCCCGACATAATAACCGAAGATACCGAACAATATTCCAACTCTAAATCATAAAAAGAGATCTCACCCAGGAGCATGCATACGACCCATGATGGCGGTAGAGGAAGAGAGGCCGCACACGCGACAGAAAATGGCCTTTTGCGCCTGCGTCGGAAATGACGCAATGACGGTCACAGTTGTTATACCATGTAGAATTTGTTTGAACAGAGACAAAGCGTCACATCATATATGTTCCAAAACATTTAATTTGCTTTAGGAAAGAAGGATTATAGTACACTCTGATCCATTAGGGTTATAGGTCACCAATTAAGAATAAATAACTGGCCATGTTAATACAAACTGCTTGGTTTCTTTGTACAGTCACTAAAAGAGTGTATCAAGTCACTAATATTGATAGTATGTGTTGCTCTGTTATGCTAACTGTCTAACTGTCCTGTAGATCTCTTAAAAACATTTTTTTAATAAATTCATCTTAATTTCTTTATTAAACATTAACAACTTAAGATTTTAGTTAGAAAGAGAGGAAAGCAGCTAATTTCTTGCTCAGGATCTTGTTCCCTTTTTATGAAGATTCAGGTACAAGTTAAAGTTGCTTTCTCAGGCTTGACATGTTTAAATCTGCTATTCCCTCAAAATTCAGAACATTTTCTCAAATATAAAATGTGGCTGGACCTACTGTATACTTCACTGGCGGTTACTGATAATCATTTACCCAGTTACTCATCAGGACATCATGTGCATAATATTGCTGCCTGACTCAGTTTTAACTGAGTCTAAAATGCAATCTGAAAAGCCTGAACTGCTGTTTTCAACCACCTATGGGAAAAAGAGAAGTGACTTAGGGTCAACATTATTGGGTAACAATAATCTCATTCATTCAGAGCACAGACAAGAGCATGTTCCAAAGCTTATGATACAAATTCACCTTCAAGGTGTGCTGTGTGAAAAGTCAAGTAATATCACAAGAGAAAGACCTGGTAGTGTGCATTTAGTGGCAATCCACGGTTACAAAAACTCCAAAGATGCTGGTGTGTCACAAGACCTGTTCTGGAAGAACTACTGACGTAGCTTTACAGAATGTTTTTTAATAAGGACACATCACATTGTTAATAAAATATATGAAGCACTAAGGCCAAGTTGAGCGCTAAAACTAGATTGCAAGCACAAACAAAGGCACCCTGTACAGCTCCCTGATGGGGAGAGTGGTTTGATTTTCCATCCTTCTCATTACTTTTGGCACATTCTTGGGGAATCTTAAGGTCATGGTTGCTTTTCTAGAATCTGGTGTGTTGGACTACTCTACCCAGAAGTGTCTGCTGTAAAGCAGGAAACCCTGATGCCTCCTATATGTCTATATAGAAAATAAACAAGGAAAACATAAAAACAAGCCTCCTTTCTATTCCTTAAAAAATAAATGTGTCAATCTATATATATATACACTCTTCTGAAAGTAATCTGTTTTGGTCCTCCAATATCAAAATGTACAAAACATTACAGCTTTTTGTTACAGTTTAGCAAAAAGAGAGACAACATAAGTGTCACAGAAACAATAAGATTAGTTAAAGAGAGAAAAAGAAAATGAGCAAAGAAAGGACAGCAGACTCCCCTTTATGGGTGTGTGAAATCAGCCGGGTTGGTCACTGTGTGAGGATGCGCCTGAAGGAGTTTTTACTCTGCATTCATGTCATATGGGAAGAACCTCTGAAGCAACTAATGATAAGCAATGACCTTGTCTTATGCTGCAAGTATGCCATACTGCAGATAGAGGTCGCTACTGATCAGTTGTACAACACATTCTGTGTACTTAGTGATGCATGTCTTTCAGCAACAAGACCGTGTCCTGCCATGACATCTTAAAAATACAAAGCATCACATAATTCACATGAAATAAATGGTCCATTTGGTTTGTTAGATTTCAAATGAAAATATCATTGCTTATACTGAAAACACACAGTAGCCAATCTCCAGACCCCCCATATTCTAAAGTAGTACTTTTATAAACTGAAAGGTGAGGTGTAATTTTCAAGTAAGGGCGCATCTGCTGCATTTCCCATATGATGTGAATGCAACTTTTGTCTGGAGAGGCAGAGCTGTTCCTGGCTTCAGTGAGAGGCAAGTGGGGTTCAGAAGTACGGCACGGCTGTGAGTTTGTACCACTTGACTGTCTCATTGCTAAGGTCAAAGTCTTTGAGTCTGAGCGTGATGCCGCCCAAAAAGTAGTTCTCACGCAGCGACTCAGCACTGAGCACACTCAGTTGCAACTCCCGAAGACCCAGGGTTTCCTTGCTGTAGCCACTGTACACCAGCTGTGGAGGAAGAGGATGAAGAAGTTTAAAATTTGAAAAACCAAAATCATGGTTGTTGATTTTGTGTTACTTATTTATCTACTTTATATTTCACTTGTATTTTTTGGCATTCATGTGGACGAGAAAGTAAGAATTTCAATGTACAGAGAAACACATTTCCTAACTGTGCATATGGCTATAAACATTTTGACCTTGACCTTGAGTTCAGAAATAAATGTGTTAAATGCAGACAATCCATTTTAAGTGCCTCCTCACCATCTCATTGAAAGTAGGGTTCCTGGTTTTCCTTGAGATCTTTGTCTTGCGTTTGGAAGTCTTGTGTGGATCTGGAAGCAGGTAGGTTTTCACATATGGGTTGGGATCTGTTCCGTCTTCAGAAACCTACAGGGGAGTAAACTGATTAATGGTCTGAAAACAAACCGATGTACAAAAAAGCAAGTGCCAAACAAACAATCTGTCAGAGCAGCATTTCAGGATGTATATGAACCACCAATATGTTTACCAGATCTCTGATGTGCATGACCATGATGAAGAGAGTGCTGTTCCTGTAGGAGATTGAGAGCTTTACTTCTCCTTCCACCCGACCTGAAGTGGGGCTCAACGGAGGCTCTGCAACAAACAGGCCAACACCACACATCACATTTGCAGAGTGGAATTTACCAGAATAAACACAGTACAAAACCAGACAGTTCAAGACAGGTGTGACAGTACGTTCAAATGATCAGTATGCATCATCTGCTATGTATATTCCTCCTATATGAGCGGAACATTTTTACAATGGCAAGTAGTTTTGATTGTCAATATGTTAGTGTTTTGATACAAAGAACAGAGTTTTATAGTGTCAATAAACTATTTCTCTCCAGGGCTTTGCTCAGGGTAAAGTTCAAATTTTTGCCACAGTAGTGATCGTCTTCAATTTTTCATCCATCCAACATTTCTGTTTACATTACTATAATGTGGCTGTAGAGCAGACATCTTTGTTACTCACTGATTAATATGATGCAAAGGTTTTCAACATTACAGTCATGTTGTTTCAGTGTCAATTTGAATTGCTTAATAACATAAGAGGGAACATTTGTAAAGAAACCAAAACCATGAACAGTGGGTGGAGTTTGACAAACACATGAAGAATGCAAATGAGAAGTGCAGGTATTTACCCGGTGCTCTGGGTGTGGCATCAAAACCTTCAGCCTTGTCATCCCGTGCAATTGGATGAAAGAATGTGTAGATCAGGTCACACTAGAGACAGAACAAGAGATGACTTCATCGACTAGTCCAGATTACAAAAACGTCCCCAACAAGCTTACTGATTACTGTGTGTGTGTGTGTGTGTGTGTGTGTGTGTGTGTGTGTGTGTGTGTGTGTATGTACCTGGGTAACCTCTGTGGAGCTCCTCATCAGGTTGTGGACGTAGTTATTGAGCTCCAATTTTCTCTTGGCTGCCACTTCTTTGATGTGAGTGCGGCCAAGCACCATTTTGTTTGGGAAACTGGAGATCAGAAGAGTGCCGAGGTTTATTTATGACTCCACAGAATCTCATGTAACTCTACTCTGATACTGATCTAGCATCTGCAAAGCAAGCTTATACAGCTATAGAGTGGGCGATAGTGGAGTTGTACTATAGGGATATTATAGTAGGTGGGATTCTCCCTCTCCAAAACAAGACAAACTGCTAACACACTGTGCTCAGCTCTGATGTTTCACTAAAGAAAAGTATTTCCTAAAGAAACTGGATCAGTAATTGAGGCATTAAGAGGCTGAGGGCCCGAGCAGAGGTGATCCTACCTCGGCAGTTTCCAAAGGGGGAAGAGGATGGTGAGTTTGTTGTGGAGCTCCTGAAACTCATCAAAAGTGCGAAAGACAAACTGGGGTTCATTTTGACCCTCCCTTAGGATCCTCACCGCATATGTCTACACAGACAAGGCAGGAAGGGAGACAGCCACGCAATCAGGTGTTAGTACTTAAAAAGTACTAAGTAAGTGGTTTAAAGACAAATAGAACACAGAGGGACTCACATAATGCTTGTCAGGGTTGTATCTCTTCTGAAAGGAGAAGATAGAGGCATGGAGGATACGGCCCTCCTGTTTTAGAGTGTAGGTCTTTGGGGAAAAAGACAGGATGGGCTCATCATTGGCTGGGAGACCAGAGAATCGTAGCTGTGCAAGGTTGTGGATGAAGAAGTTGAATTTAGTGGCTACACTGCCCAGACTGGACTCTATCAGCCTGTGGTGAACGAGGAAAGAGAAAGGACAAAATATGGGACAAATGAGAGAGAGATAAGATGGAGAGGAGACAAGATTTTTAACAGCACAAAAATTTATTTCCTGTCTTATAAAAAATATTCAAACAGGCTTAGGTCCTATGCACCCTGACTGGTTTTACTACAGCTAGGTACACCTGACAGTGTTTGAAGCCTGTCAGGAGATTTTGTTGTTGTACTGTGAAACAGCCCCTATTCTTGAGGAGACTGTGCTTATAATGCCACCTTGTGGATCTTGAGTTTGTAGCAGAAAAAACTGATTTGTCCTCAAGTTAACCTGAATAACAGATCTGGTCAAAATAGCAGGTGTGAACATGGGAATACTGATTTTTACCGATTAAAAAAAAAAAAAAAAAAAAAAAAAAAAAAAAAAAAAAAGTGTTTACCTGGTAAAGAAGATAGTTGCCTCAGCGTCTGTGTTGTTGGGCTGCAGAGCATCAAACACATACTTTAGATCCTGAGAGCCGGTGAGCTCTGGAAGGCCTGATGATGTCATCTGCAACACACCGACACATGAGAGGAGATTAACACACAAATGTAAATACGAGTTTTCATTTCCACAGCAGTTTAGCAGACTTGCCATTATAAGCCATCACTCTGTCTAGTAACACTTAATGTGTAATACAGCAATCTTTATATACACTACATTTAACAAAGGAGTAAAGAATTAGAGCCCTATTTTAAGGTCAAGGAATTACCAAATTCTTAGAGTGGTACCTGTGCTCACTGCAACAAATGTAGGGCCCAAATCCTCAAAACTGCATGTCCACATTAAAGAATTTAATTAGTTAAATATCACCATATATAATGCCATAAAAGTGAGCCCGTTAATATTTTTGTTTTCAGGTTATCAATCATTTTGCATGGCAGATTGATCATTTCATAAAAAAAGACAATGTGACAATGAGCTACACTCGCATTTCTATTTGTTTTATTTTCCATGCGTACCTTTGAATGTGGTTTTAATGCATTAACAGACCTTACATAATGCTGTCTGACTCTTAAATAGTGTTTGAAATGTGATACACTTCCCCTTAAAAAAAACACCAAAGGTTATTTTGAGAAACATCTTGTAGCCATATATTACAGCATATTCTACACACAGACCCTTCCAGGACAACAGTGAAGCCTGCTGTTTGATTAGGAAGGCACAATTAGTCTTATTTCGCAAATCTTGTAAGTCTGGCTCAGGTACTGTAGATGCAAAGAAAATAGTTCAGCTAAACAAAGAGGATGCTTTAAACAGGAGGCCAAAATGAGTAAAGACACACAAAAAGAAGCTGAGCATAGCAAAACGTAGTCAGTAGCATAAATATACAACAAGAATCTAGAACATCTGCTCTACATTTAAAGTACCAGCCATGACAAAATGCCAACTACAGTGGGACAAATAAGTATTTGATACACTGCCAATTTTTCAAGTTTTCCCACTTACAGAGAATGGACAGTTCTGTAATTTTCATCGTAGGTACACCTCAACTGTGAGAGACAGAATCTACAAAAAAAAATTCCAGTAAATCACATTGTTAGATTTTTAAATAATTTATTTCCATTTTATTGCATGAAATAAGTATTTGATCACCTACCAACCAGCAAGAATTCTGGCTCTCACAGACCTGTTAGTTTGTCTTTAAGAAGCCCTCCTATCCTCCACTCATTGCCTGTATT